TAGCGACGAAGAGCTTGGCAACTTATTCAACCCGGGTGCTATGTCTGATTCAGATCTGTCTCTAGAAGAAGACTCGAGACCTTCTAAACGCCAACTTTCCCAAAGGAACACTGATCAAGCACCACCGGCCTCTAAACATTCTCGCCAAGTGCCTCAAAACGAATCTCAAGCTCAACTTCAAGGTGTTGATTCTCAAGATATCAGTTCATCTATCAACAGGAATGCACCTCTTCCTCAAAGTTCATCAAGCTCACGTGCTACCGACCTTCCAACACTCTTGAATTATCAGGCGGTGTGTAATGAGTGGTCGATGACCAGGATTTCAGCAGTCAAGCAGACTAGCTCAGCTGTGCCACAAAATATCCAAGAGGAGGCTAAAGCGCTCAAACAGCTGTATCATCATCACAAAGAGATGCTCGCGATGATGGGAAATGTCACCTTGTTTACATTGGACAAAGCGATGTATGTTCTTTCATTCATAGTCATACTATTTCACAACATTCTTAAGATTGATCCAATCTTAATCCGCTTCAGAGGCGATCTAGGTTCATCCCGAGGTCAAGGTCAGGATGGCTATCGCCTTTGGATGAGCTATTCAAAGATGGCCAATAAGGAATATAGTGAGTCGACTCCTTCCCCAGAAAGCTACATGAACATACTTACTTAAAATGTCTATGGTGGGTATGTTTATTATGTTTATTATTACTACAGTGCCTCGAAACAGCGAACCAGAAAGTCTTGGCGAGCGCAACCGACGAATGGGTAGGGCATGGACTGCTCGACCTGACGCCGAGCGTCTCGTTTTGCATCCTTCGGTATTTTATATGTTATCTGGCTTACCCTCGAAAAAGGAACAAAAGCAACTCAATCTATCACCCGAAGAACGCATCGAGCTGCAAGAGGTCTATGACGAAACGGTGTGTGGTCAAAAGGTTGCCAAAGCTTATGCCAAGGCATTGTCAGGTATTCCTGGCGGTCAATCATTGGCAGACCACAATCGCCTTTCAAAAAAGCGTGTGCAGCAAATACATTCTCAGGTATGTTGTTTTATCATATGTTCATTATTTGAATCACTATATTTCTTCATCATATTTCTCTTGTAAACAACTGATTGTTCATTTGGCACTGATAGATTGAAAGCGAATCCACACGCATGGACTTCGCATACTATTTTCTTGCATCTGGAACCCATCCTCAAACTGAGGAAGGCAAAGGTTCCCATGGATGGTGTATTGAATACACCTCACACCCGGAGATGGCTGAATATGTTCGTGCCAAAAGCAATTTTCCGGTTATCTTTGCAGCACGTGCTCAGGGCAAAGCAGTGGAAGAAGCTGTCGCCGATGCTATAGGATCATCAAAGTCGTCGACTGAAAAAGAAAAGCGCCAACAGCCAGCAGATGTCATAAAAACCGACCTCACCAAAGCCCTTCGGGCAGATCTAAGTGAGTCATTTATCCCTTGTCATTAATCTAGTTGTTTCGGTTTCATTACTGAGGTCGCTCTCTAGAGGAAGCACTTGGATATCCTCCAGGAAAAGGTTTCCCGCGCAAACCAAACCCGGGAGAATGTCTTAAAGCTAGAGGTTTTCCGGTCAATATCGTCCAACTCGATGGAAGAAGCCTGAAGCCTGAAGATCTTGCCTTGGGTGTTGACAAGATGCCAAGCAGCAAGAGATCACTGTGGCTGAACGACGTGAAAGCAGGTTTATTCAAACTAGTAAATGACTCAGCCGTGGCAAACGGCAGCAACAATATTAATGATTTGAATGATGGTGGCTCAAATACGCAAGATATTGAAGACGACGAAGAGCCATGGGGAGGTATCTCTGGCTTAGACGACAATTGTGATCATAGAGTTGATGATATGTATATCGGTATGGGTGTGGATGAAGACAACACCAACCTTGGTATGGGTCTGGAGGACGACGACCTACCTGATGATGATGATTTTTAGTGATACCATACAGATATTTAGCTTCGATAGATAAGTAAATGGATCATTTATTGGGTTTATTGTTTTTTATACAAAATTGTGATCTTGTGTTCCAGATTTTTTTTTATCACTCGCTTACTTTTTCATCCATTTATCATTTTTATGGTGATACCATACATTCATTTACCTTACATGGATAAAATAACACTTGAGGTTATCTTTTTTTGGTGCTTTTTTCTTACAAAATATCCTGCGTTTCATATTCCTTTCTTGTTATGACTTACTTTTTCATTGTCACACCATTTGTTATCTCAAATTGTCAACATCAATAATTACAACACAATTGAAATCTTGACTTCATCTCGTCACTTGACACTCGCAACTTCAAGAACAGTGTTGGTAGCAACTGATTCAAAGTATAATTTGATTTTATTATGTGTACAGATGATATTCTTCCAGTGGTAAGCTAAGTAAAAAAGGTGTCGGACCTTCGGTTGTACTAATGTCTCTGTGAGATCGAAAATGAGTTATACAAAATTTTCACACGACTCGCTTATATACAGTACATTTTGAATTCAACTATCCATATCGAGCTCACTATCGAGTTTAATATTAGTTGTGTTGTTGCAACAGGTTGCAACTGCTTGTATGTACCGTGATACTTGGCAAAGAATCAGACCGTATGCAAAAGGCTGCTGGACTGATGTATCACATCCGTGGTTCATCTCATGGGTCTCTCTGTCTCTCTTTCAATAGTTTGTCCTATTCAACGTGGAAAGGTCTTGAGGAGACGGTTTAATACGTGTAATGTAAATAGCAATTTTAAATCGCGAATTTGTCTGTTTCTATTTGCTCATGAAAGATAGGAAGAGATAACATATTGAGGCATTTATCGGGGATACATAAAAAAAACGAGTTGAGATGACCTACAATAGCGTTCATTCAAATGTTGGTAGGGTGGTGCAGATAGAGATGGAGGTGTGGTGAGGTTGATCCGTTTGATTGGATTGATCTGGCTTGGTATTAATTGGTTGGTGTGGCTTGCTCTATTGATAGACCAACACGTCCTGATAGGGAGTTAGGTCTATCAATAGGTGGGTGGGAGTTGGGATGGACGGCGTATGATGTGTCATGTGTCTGGACAGAGCGAGTGTTTGTAGGGAAGACCACTGGGTTCGGAGGCCAGACAGGTCTGGCTAGCCTCATAGACACGTCTGAGGCCAGGACACGTCTGGATGTTGGACTCTGTGTGGATGGATATAGACATCAGACGCGAAATGACACGACGCACGCGTGTGTGCGTCTGGCAGTGAGATACGGATAGAGTCCGGCCAATACGTCTCATTTTCCTCTGGATGATATCCCAGGAGTCTAGTAGCCAGAGGTGAGCCAAAGGCCCATTGAGCATTTCAGGCAGAAGGGAAAGAACCTTCTCATTTTCACAGGGGAAAAGCACGTATCCTATGTACAAGAAACAGATGAGTTTTCCACAAGATAAGAAACTAATAATATGATGAATTTACCCCCAATCTCCTAGTGATACTCCTAATCAGTTCTCGAGAAGACATCCCGTCAAAAGCTAAAAGCAATCTTGGAGAAGGAACTACTGATGGACCAAATCGTGAAAGCAATCCATAAGGAGAAGTTCAGCAAGGTAGTCAAACTACAGAAGGATTACAATGAGAAATTCGGGACATCAACTTCAGGCACTTCAAAAAAAGGAAAGAAGGGAAAGGAGAGTAAAAAGGAAAAGTCAAAAAAGAAGACAAAAGGGAAGGAGAAGAAAGAAAGAGGGAAAGGAAAATCAAAGAGGAAGAAGCAGAAAAAGAAGAAATCACCCTCCCCGTCTAGCTTGGACTGACTCTGACAGCAATTCATCCTCCTTGTTGGAATCCTCGAGCTCAAGCTCTTCTTCAGAGTTTTCAGGGAAGAAGAAAATGAAGCTAGTAATTCATCACAATCTTTGTTGTCCTCATCCTCCTCCTTGCTGTCTTCATCCTCAAGCTAAAGTTCTGATGATGAAAAGGACAAAAAGAAGAGCAAAAAGGCAGATAAGTTGTCATCCTGAACACTAAGAGATCTACCACGGTGTTGGGCGAAGGGATTCAAAAAGCTCAGGTACTACGTACCCCTCTTGGTGTTCAACAAGAACTACATAAACCGAGAACAAAGACCGAGATCAAAACAACTCGGTATCCCAGGAGTCTTGGAGGTGGAACTTGAACGTCAAATGACATACAGCGAGTTCATCCAGGCGTGCAATCTTGAAACATGGTATGCGGCAGAGATTTTCAAGATGAAGGAATATGCTAAGTACATAGGAGAACACAAAGATGTCATTAGCAAGATCATGACAAAATAAAACTCCTGAATGGTGGCTCTTAGATACCATCTAGCTATTAGAACCATAACTTTTAGAGATAAATATGCATCTAATAAAGACAAGAAGAAAAGGAAGAGGAAAGAGAAGATTGTCTTACCAAAAGGAGTCCAACCAGAGGTAGAAGAAGAAGCAATATGGGAGGCTGACTTGGCGGGGGATTTACACTTTGAAGGAAACCCTTAGGCGCCGGGAGGCCCAAAGCATGAGTTTAATTTCCTCACAGGTGAACAGATGGAGTCAAGCCACCCCAGGGACAATTCCAATCACTAGAAACCTTCTAGATGTCAGCACAGCAACAAGTACCGCCAAAGAAACCAAGCTGGCACCACAAACCAGAGTGGCAGCAGTAGTGCCCACAAAGGTGGTCATACCAGCACGGGCAAAGGCAGATTTGGTAAATCCCACCAAGTCAGTATGCCGCAAGGCAACCAGGCTAGTGGGTGAACCAAGGTCAGCAGCACGCCAGCCAACAGGCAAGCCAAGCTCAGAAAGGAGGTCAAAAAGGGAGCCAGCAACGTTCAGAAAAACCAAAGCACTAGGTAAGCTTTGTATGGACTGCTTGGTAAAGACAGAAGCTGAAGACATGAAATACCTGATTTGTCCTTTGCTTCATTCTACCACCCCCTCTTTTTCTCTCACAACACACGGTTGAACAAAACTGGTTATCCGGGCAGAAATTCCATGTTGTCCATGATGGCCCAACATTAAGTAAACTTGATTCTATCAACTGTATTGGGTACGACCATGTAACTTTTATCAGATAGAGAATGTTCATAAAGTTGTAATTGGGAAAACTCACCAATAAAATTGTTAAAACCTTTTGCCCCATTGCCCCTTCTCTTGCCACACCCACACCTGAAACCGTGCCAATAGGTTGCTCTTGAATAGCGCAAAAGCTCAAGAAGAGGTGATCTTCATACAAGAAGTAAAGAAAGGCCTTCCAAAAGCACTCTATACTGAGAGAAAGATCCACAAGTATACTGTAATCAACCTACGGCAAGTCCCAGACTCCAAGGAAGAATGTGAGCTAGCCAAACAAGAGCCAGGTCCTACAACAACCGGGACGGTAGCCAAAAATAAGATACCCTTAGGACCCCTGATAGCACCACCAAAGCCCCATTGTCTTGCTGGAGCCAAAATGCAATTTTTAGCAAATATGTTTGTTGTGAAACCTGGAGCCAAAAAGCCAAATTTTTGGATTTTTCTTTTCTAAGGTCATTGTGCCCTTGGAGCCAAAACCACCGGTTTTTTATTCCAAAATGTTATGTGTATTGTTTCCACAGAGCAATTCCATGTAGTCATACTGGCCACAGTCTCAGTCCAGCCAAAAGGCAAGAATCACCTAGACAACACCATTTTAAGCACTTTTACTCTCCACAAAGTCACAAGGAAATGTCCACCAGCCAAAGCAAACCCTTTGTCATGGATACAATGCTCTCCAAATTTCCTTGAAACGTGTGTGGTATCTGTAATATAACAAAGAAAGGAGGTTTGTTTTATTCAATTTGCCATTGTGGTCTTCAGAAGAATGGAAGTAAACTCCAAGGTACATGTAGTTAGAATGTGGAGGTACATTGGGGATCCAGTGTGTATAATCCAGCAAAACTTCACTTAAATTACAAAGAAAAGTCTGAATCCACCACAGTCAATCTGATATAAGTATTGGTTATTATTGGTTATTTGATTATGTGTTCTTATGAAATGTTATTATGCTGCTCTTCATATTTGATTTCTGTTGCTCTAAATGATATTTGTAATGATGCTTTAACTACATTTCATATAATCATAAGTGTCTCATGATTGTTTTCTCTAACTCTCTCTTCTATTATATGTTTCTCTATAAAGTCCTGTGGGGTTTTGCACCTAGATACAAACATCATCTGTTTTCGTATCTACATCATTTATAAGCTTATATTGACTTCTTATAAATTCATGCATTACTCACAGGTAAGATGTGTTTCTGTTCTTTCTCTTTTATATGTCTCATTCTCTTTCATTCTTAGATCTATAATTTGTATGAAAGAAATGAACATGATCTGTTTTCGTATCTACATCATTTATAAGCTTATATTGACTTCTTATAAATTCGTGCATTACTCACAGGTTATGAGCCTATTGCCCGAGTAATCACTTGCTTTACGCATTACGTCATTAGCTTTTTCTGCAAACAGATCATTGCGTTATCGTGCTTTCCGGTTCATTTTTTCTAAAAACATGTCTTCTGACCCGTCTATCAACAAATCGCCTGCTTCCGAACGCAATCCTTCACAGACGTCATCTCCGTCTGTCTCTGATATCTCTTCGACCTCGTCTTCTACTACTGTGCCAGCAAATCATTGACCTTTGGACGATACAACAGACGTTTTTCCTCTTTCTCAGCTTCTTCATTCTAATATGTCTGCCCCTACAACCTCCTCTGAAGATCATCGAGTGAAGATTCCAGAACTCAACAATGGAAATTTTCCTCATTGGAACAAGCGTTTACATTTCGCTTTACAGACTCGTGGCCTCCTCAAATTCTTGACTGAAGATTCTCCTCCTGCTACCGTTGACGGGCTTGCTTTATATCGTCGACAGCAAGGTAGAGTCATGGAGATCATTGTGGGTTCTCTTGATGCAGCAAATGACTCAATCATTCAGCTTACCGACACGCCTAAGCTTGCTTACGAGAAACTCGCCAAGGCTCACGGCAGTAGTGGAGGAGTTCTCGCTGCAGCCACGATTTGTGAAATCGCGACTATACATTTAGAACATGGTCAATCACTCTCAGATTTTATCACCAAAGTGCGAAATCTTCACAACCATTTGGCTCAGTACAGTGCAGAAGATAAAGAAATTGCTTTATCGTCCAAACTATTGGCCATCTTTCTCTGTAATGGTCTCGGTAAAGATTTTGATTACATCACCGCTCCTTTCTTTGCGGATATTTCATCTCTTACTGTCCAATCTGTTATGGATCGATTGGTCATCAAGACTGCGAAGCAATCATTGTCCAATACGACGGCGTCATCTGTATCGGCCTTCAAGTCCTCTACTATCCCGTCGAACGCATCTAACTCGGCAATCAACACTAGTCAAAATAGACGAATAGGTTCAGGTCCCAATGATTTGTGCAACGTGCCCACCCATCGGGGTCTTACTCACACCAATCGAAATTGTCACATCCAGAACGGTCAGAAGACGCGTGGCAAGACATCTGGGGGTGTTACAAATTCCACGAGTAGTTCCGCATCTAATGCTCTCACCGAGGCGGAAATGGCTCAACAATACATGCTGATCGAAGCCGCTCATAAGGCTAAGAAGACCCCTCCTGCACCTACTTTTGCTGTCACCACTACGAATCAGTTCAACGCTCTTGACTTAGTTGATGAGCTTCCGGACAAAGGCTTTGCTGCTCAGGCCTATGTTGCTTCTGGCAAAACCGCCTTCGACACCATCTTAGCCGACACTGCAGCCACTAGGAACATATGCTTTAATAAGGACATGTTTATCCAACTCAGATCGATTCCACCAGTCAAGATCACGGGCATCTCAGGAGATCCTCAGTTTGCTTATCATATTGGATCCATCATCATCCCAGGGTTTTCCAAAATCGACCACTCTGCAATGGATATCATGGTACCAAATGTTTTATATGTCCCAACAATGACAGTAAACCTTTTATCGTTAAGCCAGCTTTGTGCGGATGGAGCATCTTTTTCCGGATCAGATACTAGTATCACCATTGTAGGAATGGCCGGAAACTCATATTTTATATGTGAGAAGACCAATGACGAACGCCTTTGGCAGTGCAAGGTTTGCTTACTATCTTCAGTGTATATTTTTTCTGCTTTGTCTGAAACATGGCATTGTCGTTTAGGTCACCTTCACTATGATGCAATAAGGCGTCTTGCTTCGACCGGTGCTATTCAACTTTCCTCTCATACAAGTGTTTCTTCTCATGCTCCTTGTATCACATGTCAAAAATCAAAAATTTGTCGTTTTCCTTTTAAATCTCACTAGTCAATTTGAGTGGTGGGCGCCGCAGTCATAATATCAAGATGGGCTCCACTGAACTCAATCCACATAATCTGCTGAAGCCTATGCATGTTCAAAGATGACTCAAGCAGGAAAGCCTTGTTAGCAGTTGTTTGAATGTAAATCCAGCAGAATGTATTTTGTACTCTACTGGAGATCACTTCATCCATTATGAGTACCAAAAATAGATCAGAGAAATATGAGGGAAGCCTGTGAAATTTTAAAAACTGACAGCAAGCAAAAAGGAAGGAATGGGACAGGGAAAATTATGGAAGCCGTGCTGCATGTGTGGTATAAGTGTGGTGAAATTCAGGATTGGGAGAAATGATGGTGATTTGGAGCAAAGTTTATGTCACATACCCTTGAAGCGGGGTGAAAAATCCTTGCCCTAAGCCTAACCCCCTAAGCCTAACTCCTAACCCCTTAACAGTTTCAATATCAGAGTACATCAAGTATCATTTTGTGTCATTGGTAGATACTCACTTTGGGTTGTCTCCAAATATATGGTTCTTTTTGAACTTGAAAGATCTTTAGCATTCTCACTTGTGTAGAATACTTTTGTCAACATCAAAAGCTTAGAACACATCTCAACCAAATGATTTGGATTTACCAGCATCATGGTTATGGTGCACTGCAAGTCCTACACCTCCGGACTCCAAGTTCTTTTCACATTTCCTTTCTGTATACACTAGCCAATTGGGCGGCGGGCGCCGCCATGTCAATCTCTGAACATAATTTGGCTTTTAACTCTTTTCAATACTTCCCAAGCTACACAGTAAAACAAAGAATACCAACATCTTGGGTTTTACATTCCCAAGAGCAGCACACTATTGAGCGTGATCATGTTCACTTCTGTCATATGCAAAATACCATTAGATAGAGACTTCATTTGATTTGAAGCCTTTGATCCACTTAGGATTGGGAGCTCATTCTTTAATGTGAAGATTTGTAAGACAACACCTCTGACATCAGAAAATCCACACAATGTATCAAAGCAAATCATCTTCATTTAAGTTTGGGGTCTGGATGATATGATTGGATTGGGTATGTCAGTGGTTTCAAATGTTGAATCTTTTTGCAAGGTCTAATTTTGAGATTTGATCACATACACAGAGGAAACACCATTGCTTTAGAGATCAATCCTCTGATCATGATTCTCTCAAGAATTTCAAGACCAATTCTCTGGATGTGAAACATCTTGCAGTATTTTCTCCTTCTTGGTTGATCATTATCAGAACTATCAAGAGACCTAGAGATTAAAATCCAAAGCCCAAGTGGAATGACCACATTTTGTATGTTTGAGATAAATTTCAATATGGCAATTTGTGTCATCATCATCTCCTCCATCAACCACACATCAATCATCACATTCAATTACATCAAAATATGAAATATGTTCAAGATGTGTATGATCATAATATAACAAAGGTGAAAGAGGTAAAGAAATCATACTTGTTAATTAAGTTCTTCTAGGAGATGATGTATTGAGGTTTCCAACTAAATCATGTTTAAGTTGATAATTAAGAATCCTCTCTTGACCCTCTTCATAAAGTTGATATCTTTTCTAATATCATTCTGATTCTGATTCTGATAGGCTTAATGTTGGTTTAAATTTGATTCCATATTCTGACAAATTTTCTTCAAGTTCTCCAAATGATAATTCTCCTCTGTTTTTTGTCTCACAAAGTGATGTAAGTCCTAGTTTATCAGTTAAAGAGGTTAATGGTTGATCTAATGCTGCTTGTGGTTGGTCAGGTGGTCTTCCAATCATGATGATTCTTCATTCAAATCATCAAAGGTTTTCCAAGATTCATCTTCATGCATTTCATCTTCATCTTTTTCTCCACTTCCATAATCAGAGCCTCCTTTCCCATCAAAATTACTTTCTCCTTGATTCCCTTCCCTATAATGCAATGACCAAAGTCAACTTTCTTTGTTTTCTTTCAAATAACTATATATATACAAATTCTTTAGTTTTCCCCATCAGAGGAGATTGATTGGAAGGTGTCAAAAGATTCTCATAGCAAAGCAAAGGAAGAGGAAAGAAAAGCCAAAGAGCCTGTTTGCAACAAAGGCATCACTCAAATGAAAACTGCTGGAAAGAAAGCTGAAGAAGTGGCTCAGCTTGCTGAGTTCCAAGCAAAGGGTGAGGAAGAAGTAGGTCAGATCTTGAGGAAAAGACGTGAACAACAGAGAACCATTGAGGCTGACATGGAGATTGCAAGAGGACATTCTTGGTGATGCTTTTTATATCATGTCTGTAAGAGCAAGAAGACTTTCCTATTGTCCCAATCACTACATTTGACCTTGAAGCATTCAGCTACTCATATACACTCCTCAATCAACATGTTAGGTTCTGTAAACACATCAAAACAGATTGTCAGATCAATGAATCAAAAAAAATGGTGCTTAATAACTTACCAGTAATGATAGAACAATCCAAATTAAACAAAGCCACTTGATCATTGCAAATATGGATCAAATCTTGAGCTAGGACAACCAACTCAAATCCTCTGATCCTCATTAGAAACAATTCTTCCAACTTCTGAGTTTTTCATCTCTACCTTATCTTCTCCTAATGTCACAAATTCTTCATTAGAAACAAATTCCATCAATTCAAAACTCATTTCCCATTTGCTGTTCTTTCTCTTGTACAACTATTATGATTTTCATCTTCTTTTCAATGAGATACTATTGAATTATCATTGTGAAGTGATGAAGTCTTCATCAAATTCAATTTTGTAAACCAGTTGTTTTGTAGTTTTGTTGAGTTAGGAAAGGACTAGCGAATCAGCGGCGGGCGCCGCGGCTAGGCATCTCTATCTTAGGTGGGCACAAATGTTGAATTTGCCATCTTAAGGCTTCAATTGTACAACATCTGCATACAAGAGCCGTAACTTAAAACCCAAGTTATTGTATTTGAGATAAAGACTGTAGGTTGTACAAATGACTTTTTCACAATCAATTCATTAGAACTGGATGATAAACTATGTTATTGGTAACTAACGAATCTGAGTTGGAAGTTATACATACCAGAACATTTGCCGCATTTGTGCATCGTGGAAGTGTGACATATAGTTGCCCGTGTGTAAATACAGGGTCTGGCAGTAAGACAGTCACTTTTTCTAAACTTTGGCCTTGACTTTTATTTATGGTCATACAAAAGGCTGGTACAATAGGAAACTGATACCTGTGAAACGGAATGGGGCAATCTTCATTACCTTCATGGTGCAGTTTCATTTTTGGTAAACTGATTGATGTGCCTTTTAATTCACCAGTTAGAATGCAACATTGCAGCGCGTGTTCTGCCCAGTCGGTAATAAGGAGTCGCGTTCCGTTGCAAAGGCCTTCGCCTATTTGCAAATTTCTTAAAACCATTACTGAGGCGCCTACCTTTAGATTGAGGATGTGATGTGGAAAGCCAGGAAAATTGAAAGTGTTAAGCACGTCAGGCAATACCCCATCAAAGAATTCTTCGTCCATTGTGTCTGTCGAGATTGAATTGCGGTATGCACCCGGTATTGATCCCATTACGAAACTATTAACCGCGTTGACCGTCACATTCAAAGGTGTTATCAAACATCGAGACGCGTATAAGCTAGTTAATGCATTCCAGCTTTGTGAGTTAATCAGGTTATGAGCTACATCATATTCTGTTCTAACTATCCCTGCGTCAAATTGTGTTGGCGGAGGAGGTAACGATACATTGCAATATACTAATTGTGTCTCAGCTACATAATCTTCTTGCAGTGATCCAGAACCAAGGTCAAGTAGCCACTTTGCAAAATTTACATTCATAGGGTTCTGGTGAGTCTGGAGACCACCAAGTCGTATGTTGATTGTCAATTTGAATTTATGAATCGCGTTCCATAGGTAAGACACTTTCAGTGTTGCATTTGCTTGATCTAATAAATTTCCCCTTGGCACTATAGGTAGAGTTTGACGGAAATCACCTAAAGAATCGAAGGACGGATCAGTTTCACATACGGAGTTTCACAAAAGCAAATTGCAGCCGTTCATAAGTATGATTTACCTGCAAATAACACTACTTTCCCCCCAAATGCTTGATCGGTGTTGGCCAAGTCGCGGAGAGTTCGGTCGACGCATTCGATTTGGTGTCGATGCTGCATGGCCACCTCATCCCAAACAACGAATTTGACATTTCGTAACAGTCGCCCAAGTATTGAATTAGGGAGTACTGGACAGATTGAATCCTCATTTATCGGGATTGGGATTTTGAAAGCACTGTGTGCAGTGCGGCCGTGCAAGAGGAGTAATGATGCAATTCCTGCGGCTGAGACTGCTTGAAATTGAATCTCATTTCCATTACAATAATGTAAGATGGTGTTGAGTACAAACGTTGTAGAACTTATAACCCAACAAGGGTTATACAGAGCTGGAAGAGGATAATCTACTAATAAAATGACTAGTAGAAGTTGTCTAAGGACTGCTCTTCTAAAACAACACAATCAGAAAGGGCTCTGTTGTATTGAGTACTGATAAGGCACCAGAGAAATATAACTTCACACGTAATTTTAACTTCAAAAGCACACTTTGTATTACTATCAACACTGCTATAGTGTTATTCCCAATTGATAACTGAAAAAAAATAAGCAATATCTGATTGATATTATTCCCAATAAGTCTTTATGACTATAAAACTAAAGTAAATTTCTCTTTATAACTGTAATAAAGGGCGTATTTAAGTGAACAGGTACTATTAAAATAAGTTTATGATGATAAACAAAATAATAATGGCGTAAATGATAAAGAAAAAAAAAGGGGAACAACAGTCCCAAAACCCTCTCAAAGTATATATAACAATGTACTAGAACTTTTACAATGGTCAACAGCCTCAAAACCAATCAAATCCGCCCAAAATTCCCTAAAAACCCTATGATGACGCAATGTAATGGTTTTGTTACTAATAAATGATGTAATTTTCACAGCTAAAAGTGATCAATGACGCAATAATATGATGTACAGCACTTCTTATGATGAATACAGGTGATTTTTTCCTTGTAAACTAGCTGAAAACCAATTTTTGAGATTACGAATTTTTTCAGATGTGCTCCAATTTTTGATTACTAAAGTGCATCTTGTAGCCCACGTGTTACTGATCATTTCTGACACCTACATGACCTACTTCTGATGAGTGATGAGTAAGATATTGAGTTGTGAAGTTAAGGTTTTTAGTGTTACATATGACTTGTGACTGTAAATTCGAGATTCACACCAATTCTTTATTTGCCTTATAACTTTTTACACACACCTCCGTTACTAATGATTTAAAGTTTGTACATTATGTAATCCACTCTTCTGCGTTGAATGAGCCATCTACCAACCTATTCTGACGTCATTTGACATATGTAATTAGCTGAAAACCTCCATTTTCCACGAATTTCACCCATTTTCTTCACTTTTCACAGCTACTACTATCTTTTTCTTGCTCATGTAATATGACATCATCATCTATAGCCTTAAAAATCCCGGAAAATCCTCTTGGCAACCTTAAATTCCATCACTACCACTATTACACAACCAAACTACACGTGTACCTCTTGTTTACCAACTTCGAAAAAGTGCTTTTTTCCTAATAACTTCTGTTTCTACTTATCAACCTTGAAGATTAAAATTTTCATAGTATCATATAATGTTGTTCTTTCATATTCTAACCTCATAATACCCATAACTTTATTTTTACTAACCTAAAAACCATTTTCCAACCTTTATACCTATAATTTCGAATTTTTCTTATGTTTTTCTTTCTTTCTTTTTGTAATAAATTTGTAAGTAAACTATAATGATCTTAATATATAATGTGAAATAAAATGATGTAATGTTGACCTAATGACCAATACATAAGCCTACAAGAGCTTCAATTGATCAAAAACCTCCATTTCGAATTTTCTTTCCTGCTGAATCCTGCTAATAAACTGGTAAACTGGTAATTGTGAATTTTTTAATTGATCCCATAAATTGATCACCACATCCTCCTCTTCTTCCAAACTGCCCCCAGTTTATCAATTAAACACTCCAAATAAACACTCCAAATCACTAAATTCTTGAATTTTCCTTTATTTCCAATATGGTCAACACTGTTTCACCTTCTGTAGCATGCCGGATGGTAAACTCCTCCTGCCACTATCAAATCAATCCTGCTTGCCAAAGATGCCATAGTCTAGGAATAATATGCTGTAAGTCCAATTTCTTTCTTCTATTTCTTTCTTCTTTTCTTTATAATAAGTTTCAATGTTTTTATTTAATTCTTTTACTAATTTTTAATGTCTTTTCTTTATTTAATTTTAATAGCCTACCCCTCAGCGCCTTCATCCAATAATTCACCTGTACCTAATTCTCCTGCCAACAATTACCCTCCACCAAACACGCCTAATACTCCTATCAGAATAAATTTCCTTAACCCTTATAGTATTAATTTAAATAACACGCCTTCAGCACCTGATTCCCCTAATCCCTCTATTACTTCATCAATTGAAACCAACTTTACTACATCTGATCCATTTTTTGAAAGATTATATGAACATAACCTGGTGTGGAAAACTGATTATATAACTTATCAGAATTGGCATTCTTGGAGGATCCTGGATGATACAATCAGACAATTTAAAGAAGCAGGCTTTGAAGTTCCAAACATAATTAATAATCATTATCATTTGTTGCGTGCCCATTCTATAGCTGAGTATGTTTCAAGAAGGGGTGAAGATGAGTGTTTGACTGTAGCAACTTTTATTCCATTCCTTAATCATGCTGAGCGTGCAAATGCTGCTATTTTATCCCCCTACAGTACTCCTTCTACCAATCCTCCTAATACTGAACCTCCTCTAATTAATTATGTTAATAATAGTCCTCCTGTAATTCCCGCTGTAAATTCTCCTTATACTGATTATAATTATTCTGAATATACTCCTACTATTTATGAACTTCCAAGCTGGCTTGATCCACGCCTTTTCCCTTCTTCTCCTTAATTTTTTTTTTATATCTTTTAACTTGTACATTTTTAATCTTCTTTTAAAATTTTAATATAATTATTATACTGATAACTAGTGAAACATATCCTTATTTTTTTTTTTTTAAATCTTATCTTATATTTTTATTCTGGTCTTTTAATTCTTTTAATCTTTTATATATATTTTTATCTTTTGAAATTAATAATATTATTAGTGGTAATTTATACTTATAATTGCGCCTCTTCCTCTTCAATGCCCACCTCCTCTTCTTCT